TTTAACTGAAAGGTTTAAAAATGAATTAGTAATCACAAGTTATCAAATAACAGGACATTCTAATGCTTATTTCATTATTTGGACTTAACATTACAATATCTTTAATCCATGTTTCCCCCCCTGTCTTATAACTATTGCCTAAGAGGAAGAAAGGATCAACTGCCTTAAAAAACTTTAAATATGCTTCATTACATTCTTCTGAAATCTTTTTTCACTTTTTGGTCACATTGTAATCTTTGGTGGAGGTTGCTTAAACAGGAAGTAAAAATAATAGTGTGTGTCTTCACATCCATTATACTGAAAAGACTACATAAGTACTCTGAGCTTATGAATCTCTTTTTCTTTACGCTGTACATTTGAAAGGCTTAACTTACCTTCTGATCTTTGTTGTTGGTTAGATTTAAATACAACTGATGCGTAGTTAACCTCGTCCTCTGCCATCCTTACAGTCTTTCTGTTTTATTTTTTGTGACTCGTAGACAGAGAAGAGTATTGTATTTGAACCACAGGGCATAAATGAGAGAAGCTGTTTTTTCCCGAGTCTGTTTCTAACACCAACTTCTGCTTTTGGCTTTGAACGTAATTTGCATACATGTCTGGCTGGAAGAACCTCAAACACTTTACAGAATGATGATAATACTGTTCCTGTGAGCAGTGAATATGTTGTGAACAGATGGCTAGTGTGTACCTTAGACCTTAAATGTTGATTTTGTATAAACTGTGAAGCAAAATAATTCAATTTATTGTCCCTCAGTGCTGTTTTTTAGGAGTTTTTTTTGTTTAGATTTTTGGCATCGGCCTAATTATGGTTTCTTGTAGATGGTGTAGAGGTGGGACCAAGTCATTGTTTTGCAAGTCTCAAGTAAGTCTCAAGTCTATATCCTCAAGCCACGAGTCAAGTCTCAAGTAAAGTCAGGCAAGTCAGAGTCTTAAGTCAAGACAGACTACTTTCAAGTCTATATATATCATTATATATATATATATAAATGAACGATGAACAAGAATGTGCACTTTAAGTTATTTCAGTTAACTATTCTGCACTGCATTTGCAAAAGACCAAATTAGCCAAAAGTCTGTCAGTCATTTGTGCACGATGAGGCCGTAGAATGATGCCACCATAGCTGAAAACTCGCTCCACAGGAGCACTACATGCAGGTACTGCCAAAACTCTGGTGGCCACATGAAACAGAGAAGAAAGAGTCTGCATGTTCATTGCCCAGAACAAGGGGGCGTTCTGTCCATCAGCAATATCCAGGTAGTGACTTAAAGTAGAGCTTGACTCTTACAGTAAGCAGCAAGGAGTCCTCCATCTTCACAGTCCTCTTGGTGTTCCTCACCAGGAATCACAGGTTGCTCTGACTTTGCAGGATCTGCAGCATCTTGCAGAATCAGATCTGGCAAAACAAATTAACAACAGCAAAAGACCCTTTCTTACAATTTTAGACAAAAAAATACAGAAAAAATATACACTATATTCAATCTTTACCTTTAGCTTTTTGTGTCACCTCTGTCTTTATGTCACAACTGCCCAACACATGGTGTTCCACCCACAACAGAGAAAATGCTGGATCCAAAGCAGCTGCTTTAAGGTACACTGGATCTGAAAAGGGGGCAGTGATCCCATCTTCTGCTCTAGCCATTCACACACTGATAAAGAGTCCAAGAAATCTTGTGTTCAAAGATGCTTGGAGACTCCTGACCAGGCCACTCAGGAAACAGACTTGAGGCTGCAGTTTCTCAAGGTGGTGATTGAGGGACAGCACGGATGGAACAACAGCACTGATTGTGACTATTTTCTCACCTTGTGTCAAATCTGTTGCGTCTCCAAAAGGCTTCAAGATGTCCACCATCTCTTTCAACAGGTTCCACTCTCGTGTTGTGAATAATAACTCCTTGTGCCCAGCCATTTCAAGAACAGTGCAGAGTTTTAAATGTTCACATTGGAGAACTGCATTTACTTGTCTCAGTGTTAAATTCCATCTTGTGATTACAGCAGCAGGGATCCCTTTCTGTTCACCAAATTCATCTTCAAAAACATCTTTGAATGTTGTGCTTGTGTGCAGTAGAGAGCTGAGCTTAGATAACTTTGAAAGTGAAGGAGTTGCCACTTTGGTCTCTGACAAACCATCTCTCACCACCAGCTGAAGTGTGTGCGCACAAAACACTGCAGGCGCTGTGTCTTTGCCTTAGCAGCACCTACTGTTTCCTGATCTTTCAAGGTTAAATCGTGCCAGAGCTCTGGGTCGTCAAGATGATCACCGTCATCATCATGTTTTTCAGCTTGCTCAGTGGGGAAGCACACGGTGAATGTTTTCCGCATATTGGCAGCATTGTCACTAATAATATAGTCTAGTTTATCTTTGATGTTGTATTCATCATATATAACTTCAAATTTCTCACAGATTCTTTCACCAGTGTGTAATCCTTTGCAGTGGTCAAAGGCCAGCAGTTTGGATTTTAGCTGCATCCTCTCTATCTCTTTCTGTATCCAGTGCACAGTGATACCAAGGAAACCCCTCATCCTTCGGTCCGACCAACTGTCCACAGTGACTGAAACATGATCAGTCTCGCTCAACTGAGTTTTTAACATTGAACGTTTCTCAGCAGTGAGGTTCTTTGTTTTTGATGTAATTGTTCTGCAACATACCGGGCTGTATTTTCAGTCAACTATTGTCAGAAAGTGCAGAAAATTCTTGTTTTCCACAATAGAAAGGGGCAGGTTGCAACCAATAATCAAGTCACTTAAGATCTCAAAATGCCAGCAGCAAACCAAACCTAAACCAGTGCAGCCCACTTAAAAACCATAAATACCAGCAACCCACCCAAATCTTAAATCTTCATTCTAATCAAAAGAAAGAAAGTGATGTATTTTCCTGAAAAGTTTATTCAAAAACATAAACAACACAGGCTGTTGGTTATCAGGTTACCATATCACACAAACTTCAATGAAAGAACATTAAATTTAGGTCAGAATAATGAGTAACATCATAAACCAAACACCTGATATTAGCAGTTTTAATTTACTTTTACATAAATAAATAAGCGTATATGAATGTATAACTGTACATGCTTGTGAGTTATTTCAAACTGAATTTCTTTTTTTACTGTGGCCCATCTGCAGTACTTTAGCAGCCCACCAGGGGGCCCAAAATTTTGGGAATCCCTCATCTACCTTAACTGGTTTGGACCCTCGTATGCTTTCAAAAGTGCTTTAATTCCTCTTAGCATTAATTGAATTCACATGTTAACATGTTCAGTTCCTGCTGTTTTGTCGGCTGCAAAAACAAACACTGCAATGGAAGAAAAGAATTCATAAAGCTATAATTAAAGGAATTAGATTAGATTAAATTAAATTAGTCGAGATGAACAGAATAAGTCCAGATGAACAGAATCAGCTTTTGGAGAGATTAAATTAGACACTGGAGGTGACTGCTCTTTTTTTCTATAAAAAAAACATAGTAAATTCACATGCACCTCAATAAACAATATTTTTTCTATGATTTATGTTTGAAAAGAATTTCCATTATTCCCATCGCATCTCACTTTCTTGAGCCTAGTCTACACATACAGGCATGTGTATGATACAGTGAGAGGTATGATATTGTGTTTGGTTAAATGTGAGGACATTTATTGAATCAACACTTGTGTCTGTTATTACTGTGGGTGACCTTGGTTCTTTGGTTCTGGGTTGTTACCTGCTCAATTGCAGATGGGTCACATGTTAAACCATTTATTTATAACCTTCAGGCTTTTAAAAAATCAGGTGTGCTTCAGTAAAACTTCAACTCGTTTTTCAGAATTAATTTTAGGAATCAAGCACATTTTAACAAGGTTACAGACGGTAACTGAAAACAAGGACCCGCAAGATTGTCTTGGCATTAAAACTATACAAAAATCATAAATCAGTCTTCACATTTTAATATTCTATTTATAAATTACATTAATATTTTTTATTGATATTAACATCAATATTAATATAGTAGTTTCTGAATATCCAGTAGTCTTCTGAAGTATTTACTTTGCAGCATTCAAACAGACAAAGCTTTCTTCTTGCAGATCCATCGGTTCTTCTCATCACAGCTCACTGATTTAAATCCTTGGTTTTGGAGAGAGATTGCACAGTGACCATCAGAAGGAGATGACTGGTCGATCCAGGAGCTGAGGAAAGTAACAAATTTGCTCAAGGTTGATGGACACTTGTACATTGTAACTAATTTATTCCAAATTTGGCAAATATTTTAATTGTCTCTTACTTATTAGTTAGATCCCTTCCATCCAGCCACTTCCATTTCCCATCTTCAACTCTCAGGCCAATCCAGTATCCTGTGTTTTCATTTTTTTGCCAACTCTTTTCACAAATAATTTTCTGAGAACAGAGGGAAAATGATCAGAGATATTTAAATACTTTGCTTAAACCACTGACTGAGTTCAGATCTATTTAACTAAGTCTGTAATAAAGAGTCTCTCTGTGCTGTCATTACCGTTTCTTCTTCATTAATTGCAACAGCCAAATCTGAAATCTTTCCTCTGCAGTCTTTTCGAGCTTCTTCCCAGGTTTTCCTTTCACCTTGGTCAGCATTATTAGTTGCATAGCAGCTGGAATTTAATTCCCAGCCCTTCTGACAAGCCTTACACTTTCTGTCTGCAAGGATGGAGATCAATTAATAAACATCACTGCATATTGCTGTTAAATTTGGTATTATTGTAGGAAATGTAATTGGAACATACTGTTATTTTCTTGGGGACAGTAGGCATCAATGCTCCACTGAGCTCGACTAACATTGTGCTCATTCGATGATGTTGTCAGGTTTTGTATTTCTGTTTCTGTTAGGTTTTTCTTCTCTGCCTCCAGGTCCTTATTCTGAGTCTTCAGCTCCTTATTTTTATCTTTAAGGTTCCGGTTTTCTTTTGTCAGGTTTGTCACCTCTTTATCTAAGACATTAAAGGTTTGAGTCAGGTTGTTCATCTGGAGTGTGAGCTGGGTTTGGTTCCTCTTCAAGTCTTCATTGTCTGAGCTGAGTTTGTTGTTGAGTTTTGTCAGGTTACGATTGACAGCATTTAAAGTTGTTTGGTTTTCTTTCAGTTGGTTCAGCTCAGTTTCATCATTCTCATAAATTGATGTGACATCTGCAAAATTAAAATTAGTTTTTTAGAATATGGTGGATCTCAATTTATTTATTATCATTTTACTACTGTTTAAAGTATTTCCTCTTCTGTTCTAATTAAACCTTTTTAGTTTAGTCTTTTTTAGATTTATTTAAATCTTTTAGTATGAATTAAATCCACTCAGAAAATAAAAAGTATAAAATGCATTTTTGTTGGGAATTCATTTTTTAAATGCAGAGTCCACAGCTACATTGGGTGTGTCATCAGTTACAGCATAGAGACTTCCCCTATGACTGCTGTTGTATTTCTTTGTGTATCACCTCACCTTAAAACCAATTATGTTATTATAGAACATTTCCAATGTCAAATAACAGCTTTGTTTGGGATAATTTTGAAACATTAAATTGAATTAAATTAAATTAAACATAAATTGTAAAATATTGTTTAGCATAATTTTCTGTGAAATTTCTTGCTAACAGATCTGCAAAATCAGAAAGAGAAAGTACCATAAGTGTGACTGATGTATGAATGTTTTCATACTTACGGTAGACACCGACTGCTATGATGACCAACACCAAAATTATACAAAGCGTGCCCAAACAACAAGCCAACTGCTGATAGTGGCGACATCTGTGGTTTGATTTCTTGTCGGGCAAGAATTCTGCAGAGGCTAAACAACAGATAAAAATATATAGTTTTAGCTTTCTGAATAATTTAAGTTTTATTCAAACCTCAAAATCTCTAGTTTGTCAGACAAATAGGCTGATTAGTACTTGCCACAACCTAATTTAGTGACAGTCTTAGAAATATTTTCAGTTGCCTTTATCTAAAACATGTCCACCAAGTTTTCTTTGCAATGTTCCATTCAAAATAGTTATAATCATTTCACATATTATGGACTGACTGTCCCTAAAGATCCCAATTTAATTTTTAGCTTGACCTTTGATATTTTTTTTATCAACATTAAAGCATAATATTGAGTAATGGAAAATTCTTCCCTTATCCATGATTGGTTGTATAAATTCCATAAAAATTGTCTCTCTTCCTAGATTTTTGTATCTTTGCCAGAATCTTCCTATTTATCTCACTTCCTCATCCTCATTCTTACATATGTAACAAGAAGAATCCTAGAATCTCAAAACTACATCTACATAAATCCAAATTGAAGGGAGGTCTGAGTTTACCAATATTCAAACATTATTATTGGGCTGCAAATGTACAAGTGCTGACCTTCTGGCACCAGACATTCCCATCATTTAATCAGCTTAGGCATTTTGTCCAAATTAACACAACTTTTTTAATGTGCTCCTGAGCCCTCCTTATTCCAAACATCTGATTTCTACAATTGTACATTTGTTTGATGACAGTGTTGAGGCGTGGACTACGAGGATAAGAGACGCTTGGAGGGATGAACTGGGTATAGAAATATTGGAATCAATGTGGGACAATTGCTTATCCAAAATTAATTCCTGCCCTTTCAACAGCAGACATCAATTAATACAATTTAAAGTTGTCCATCAGCTACACTACTCCAAGGTTCGACTACACAAAATGTATTCTCCAACTTCCCCCATATGTGACAGATGTAAAATATCAGATAGAACACAGTCTCATGCTTTATGGCATTGTCCCTCATTGACTAATTTCTGGTCGAGATTATTTGATTGGTACTCTAAAGCTTACGGAATCTTCATCTTGCAGTTTTTGGTTGCATACATTCCAGAACTATTCCTGCAACTATGCGGGTACCAGTCGATCTTGGAATGATGGTTGGAAAAAGACTTATCCTAAAGAAATGGAAGTCCGATGTTCCTCCCTCCTTCAATGTCTGGCTCAATGACATGCTATTAGTCATACAAATGGAAAATATTCGATACCTACAAACTTCTGCAGTAAATGTTTTCTCAAAATCCTGGACTCTGTTTTTTAATTACCTTGGGAAAGCCCTGGTTATATGAACATGTGTCATGGCGCTGTGGTTTCTTTGTTTGTTACAAATACACGATATTTGATTTACTCTGGATACTGGTAGTTTTTATTATTACTGTGCTATTTCTTGTCTTCTTGCCTTGCCTTAGCACCTGAGCTGTATTTATTTGTTTGTTGATGGGGTTTTCTATATTGAAAAATTAAAATAAAATATTGCAAAAGAAATGTTTTCAGTTGCATGGGTTTTCATTTGACTACTCACCATTTGTGACAGGAGTTTGTTCTGTTGCCTTATTTTGCACCTTTACTTTGTCATACACTGTTTCCTCCTTTTTAACTGAAAGGTTTAAAAATGAATTAGTAATCACAAGTTATTAAATAACAGGGCATTCTAGTGCTTATTTCAT